TTGTAAAAAGTCAAGCGTAAAAAATAAAGAGTTCATTTACTCTACTTGTTTGAAGTTGTCAAAATACTCTGTTATTTTTCACGATTTTCATACGGAATCTCTTCTCTCAGTTTTTTCGAGGGTAGCAAGCATATGAGGAAATTCATGAAATTTGGTCATTTTTCAGCAAAAATAATGTTTCGGTGAAGAGGTGAGATTTCACCTGTTTTTTCACCTCTTTTTTCACCTCTTGAATTTTGTATAAAAGATATGATTTCAGGGATTTTTTTTACGAAGTGTCAAAGTTCTCTTCGTCACTCATAACAGTTATATAATGAAATTTGGTCATTTTACTCAGAATTCAGCAAAAATATAATTGAGGTGAAGAGGTGAGAGATTTCACCCATTTTCTCACCTCTTTTCTCACCTGTTTTTTCACAAGCATTTTACATGAATTGTACGATGTATATTTGAAATTCCTGAACAATTTCGTAGCTTCTATTTCTTCTGTCAGTATGTCAAAAGTTTTAACAATACGAAGGTTTCTTTATATTTCTTCTTGACGTCAGATAGAAGGAAATCTTCTGCTGTTGGATAGTTTTTTGTTCAGAAATTCTAACATGTCCATTTTTATCTTCTGCTGGTTTTTCTGCTTCTTTCTTTAAATCTGCATAGTCGTTTCGCATACGTTCTATCTCTTTGACGGAGTAGTTATATTTCCTAATTGCTGCTTTACATTTAGAACATTGCGGGTTCATTTTTTGCGTTATATTCTGAAACCTTACCTGCTAAAACAACTAAGGCGTCAATTGCTCTCTTCATCTCAAACATAGCGGGTCTTAATTTGTTCGTTCCATACTTTGCCTCTTCTATCTTTATCTCTTATCTGCCATACACATTCAGCAACTAACGAAACAAAAGTTGTCGTAGGTCTTAAACTCCCCAGATTTATATATGTCAGAGATGTTCTTATATACCATATCGCAATCTTTGTCCATAAACTTTATGGTTGCAATGAAATCCTAGAAACTCATAGTTTACCTTTCGTATGAACTTCTTTATTTCTACTGAGTCAGTTGCTTTGACTTCTATTTCATCGAATTCAGGAATAGTGAGCTTTTGCTGCTGAATTTCAGGCAATTTGGGTAAATGGTCAATAATGTCCTGCATTTCATAAAGATACTGTTCATTTTTTTCATCTTTCGCACAACAGTCTAAATTACATGTTAAAAGTTCTTGCTTTATCTTCTGGATTTCTGTTTCGAAAGTAATGAAGAAGGAATGAAGCTTTTCATCTCTACTAACATTGAAGTTGGGTTCATGACTAACGAGTTTGGTGCTGTTGTTGCTAACATGTTCTTACAATAAAAATAAAAATATTTTTTAAAAAAACTAACTTTATTTTTTATTTCGGGAAAATTCATGAAAATTCAACGGGTGAGAAAAGAGGTGAGAAAACAGGTGAGATCTTCACCTCTTCACCTAAATATATTTTTGCCGAATTCTGTATAAAATTCATGAAAATTCAACGGGTGAAAAAGGTGAAAAAACAGGTGAGAAAAACGGGTGAGATCTCACCTCTTCACCTAAAATATATTTTTGCTGAAAAAATGACCAAATTTCATGAAAATTCAACGGGTGAGAAAAGAGGTGAGAAAACAGGTGAGATCTCACCTCTTCACCTAAAATATATTTTTGCTGAAAAAATGGTTCATTTACTCACAATATTTTTGTACAAAACGACCCCAAACTTTAACTTCTTTTCTGCAGCTTCTAATGCTATCTTAGCGAGTTCATATTCTCTAAATTCTCTCTTTAAATCTTCTTGTTCCCATTGGTCTAGTTCGTATGGAGAATCTCTATAACCAGAACATATCTCACGTTCATGTTCTATTTGTTTAAGCACATTTTTTCTAACTTCTTGTTCGAACAAAGGTTTTGCATTCTCTACTGTATCTTCAAGTTCTTCTTCATCTAATTTCTCATGAACTTTCTTGTCTATGGAGTCCAGAATTTTTCCAACTGCTATACAATATTTTGGAGAAGCCCACATTGCTATATAGTTTACGAGTCTTGGGTCTACATACATTCCTCTAACCTGTTTTGATTTCATCAGGAATTCCTGCATGAATTTTGTATAAAAAGCAACCCGCTGTTTCCGCGGGTTGGTATATTCTTCACAAAATGCCTTAAAATACTCTTCCCAGGACTTATTTTCCAACAACCTTCTAAAGTCTTTCCTAAACTGCTGACACATCTTTGTTGCATTTATATAACCATCCTTGTCTCTACGTAAGACTTCAATACCGTTGTAAGTGCCTTTTGTGAATGTTTCGCCATTAGATTTGTTCGTGAACGTTTTTGCTTCGACTGACATTTCTGTTTCTTACAATAAAAAATAAAAATATTTTTTTTAAAAAAACTAACTTTTTTTCTGTCTTAAGGAAATTCAAGAGGGTGAAAAAACAGGTGAGAAAACGGGTGAGATCTCACCTCTTCACCTAAAATATATTTTTACTGAATTTAGCAACAACTTTTCTCAATTGGAGCTGTGGCATACTCTTTGCGTAAGCGGTTCAGACCTTCTTCGAACTCTTGGTCTCTCTTCGATTTGGATTGAGGTGGAAATTGGTAGTAATTTGGTGGAGGGACTTGCTGGAACTGAGGTGCAGGGGCTGGTGCTTTAGGTTCCTCTGGTTTGGGAATGGGCTCGGTTGGTGGGACGTCGGACATTCGTTTGTGGCTTAACCGTCGGACCACAACGATAAAAATCTCTGCTACTAGCAGTACTGCTACTGACAGTAGCAGTACTTTTACTGACAGTAGCAGTACTTTTTCTGACAGTAGCAGTACTTTTACTGACAGTAGCAGTACTTTTACTGACAGTAGCAGTACTTTATCGTCGAAAACCCTCTCAAATTTTCCTTTTTACTGCTCGTAGCAGTACTTTTACTGACAGTAGCAGTACTTTTACTGACAGTAGCAGTACTTTTACTGACAGTAGCAGAGATTTTTATCGTCCAACTTTACAAATGTAAACTTATATCGTTCTATTTTCTTCACTAGGGTCTAACACCAAAGTAACCTTACAAATGTAAACTTATATCGTTCTATTTTCTTCACTAGGGTCTAACACCAAAATAACCTTACAAATGTAAACTTATATCGTTCTATTTTCTTCACTAGGGTCTAACACCAAAGTAACCTATGTACATGAAATTTCACTGCATAAAAGGAAAAAACCTGCGCGAATCGGGATTTGAACCGAGGTCTTCGACGCCTTTAACGAGGTAGCCCATACCACTGAGCTATGAGCCGCTTACATATTCACAAAAATAAATTGTTTTCATGAGTTTTCTACGATGTTAGAAAAAAATGTTATTTTCTAATATCTTCACATTCAATACTTTTTCAGCACTTTTCCGTAGTTGTATATGAAAGACAATTCGAGATAAAAGTCATAGTACAATGGTATAATATGCTGCACACCGTTTGTTGTGAACCAAACTTGAAAGTCAGAGAAACTGTTACTAGGTGGTTCGTAGAATTTAGAAGCAAAGTCATAAAAGTCCTTACCAATACATAGAAAACTATTGTTGCTTGAACTGAAACTTGCATGACACATAACATTTTGAGGGTCAAACACGTTTTTATAAACTGTCAAATCTGCTGGTGGAAGTATAAATTTAAATGGACCATCTGGTGGTAATGGTTCGTTCTGGTTTAGTAACCGAAGAAATTGTGCCCAAGAACGTTTGTCTACTTCCCAAAATAAAAACTGTGTATCTCTTGGAGGGTTAATTTCAATCTTTTGAAATGAAACGGTGGAGTTCATCTTGTCATATTCTAGTTTCAGATAGTATGTTCCATTTAGTAAAGAGTCGTATTTTTCTTGAAATTCCCAATAATATTTGTTTATTTGAGTTTGAAAGTCATTTAGAGTTTTCTCAAGACTTTCGTCTGAACGAATTGTAAAGATTCTCATTTCGTCAAATTTGTCTATTAGACCATCATCACCTTTATACTGCCCATGAAAATATACTGCGAACATAAATGCGTTAGTTCTTTTTGAAAACAAAACTCTTCTAAATCCTATTGCCTTTGCATCTGAAGGACTTTGAAGCCAACGAATTGGATAGTCAAACCTGTATGAACGGGATGAAATTTCTTCATCTGAAATATTTCTACCGGCATTTGTAAAGATATAGTCTAACGTTTTGTATCTGCTACTTTGTTCTTTGTTTTTCAACCTGAAGCATTTAATATATGTAAAATATATTGTTTTAAAATGGTATGCCATATAGCTTCTTGAATTTGTTAAGAATATTTGAAACGCATTTTCCATCTGTATCTCTAGTGTTTACATAAGCATAGCCTGCCTTAGTAAAATATATTGTAATTTCCTATAGTTTACGCCGGTATAAAAGTAGAAAGAGTCTTGTTCTTCGCTATAGTAGTAAAACTCAAACGTATGCTCGCCATAGTCTGTAATTTCAATTGTTTCATCTTCTAGTTCGTCGACAAATTCGAATACAATATCTCCAAATTTGCTTTTGTTCTTATTGTTTTCAGAACAAGTGACCCAACGTAAGTTTTCAAGTCTATTGTCGTTTCTTATACGGTTTATGTGGTCTACAAAAGGTAAATTGTTAGGGTTCGGTATAAAATGAGTTGCAATGACAACATGTTTAAAATAGTTTTTTCCACTCATCTTCATAATAGCATATCCGTCATTTCGCTCCCATTCGCTTAAAACTCTTTTTGTCTTTTTGTTTCTGACTTCAAATGACTCACAACAGTGAATTTCATATTTCTCATCTAACAAACAAGTTTCCCAACGGTCTTCTCCAACAAACTCAGCGTACATTTCAAATAAAATAAAAAAATATTTTTTTAAAAATATATTGTTTTAAAATGGTATGCCATTTCATATTTCTCATCTAACAAACAAGTTTCCCAACGGTCTTCTCCAACAAACTCAGCGTACATTTCAAATAAAAATAAAAAAATGTTTTTTTACTTTACTTTACATAGCCACCTGCTACTAGAAGTCTTTGACGCCAACCCATACCAGCTAATGAAGGTTGACTTGGTTTAGTTCCAATACTAAACTTTGGTTTTGGTTTATCTTCAGTTTTTGGTTTCTCTTCTTCTATCGGTTTTTCGTCACTTTTCGGTTCCTCTGACTTTACCTCACCTGCAGGAACAGTTGTGTTGTCAACATCTTCATAAATATCATATGCCATTTGTTTTTGTTTTCCTTTCAACTTTTTGTGTTTGTTGTAAATTTAGAATATTTCGACTCTAAGTCAATGAGATGTTCTATAATGAACTGTTGGTCAGTGAAGTAAACTTTTCCATCTGTTGTCTCGAAAGCTCCTTCAGACTTCAATATTTTATTTGTGAGAGTCTGTTTCTTTTTTGAGATACTAGCCGTTCCATTTCTATGAAAAGTGACTTTATAGTTAGGGTTTGTATTTCCAGACCTGGCACTTTCTATTATTGAATTTTCTTCATCTGTAAGTTCTTTGACAGGTTTGACAATGGTTCTGAACTTTTTTGTTTGTGGTGTCAAATCTAACCGTTTCAACTTCTTCGGTCATTTCATCTCAGTAAAAAATTTTAGTTTGGTTTGTTTTCAACTGGTTGTTGTTGTTTTTTAAGTCGGTCTAAAACTTCCTGAGGTATAGGAAGAACTTGACAAACACGTTGTGTAACTGCTGGAAGTCGACAAATCCATCTTGAACCCATTTGTCTCAATGCTGTATTGTTCATTTCATCTCAGTAAAAAAATTTACATTCCCCAAGTTTGAGGCGGTTGCGGTTGGTTGTTGTTTACCCACTGGTGTGCATGGTTATATCCTCTGTTAAAGAATCTTTCACCTTGGTCCATGTAGTGTCCTGCTTGGTTATAGTAGTCATTTGCTTTGTTTATAGTAGTTTCCTGCTTGTCTTCCTACATTGTCCATCCATCCTTGAACTTTCCTCTTTTCAGGATTTGGAATAAGATTTGCTGCATCTCTGCTACATCCAACCTTTCTGTACAGTTTGTATAATAGGTTGTGCTTTCTCTTTAAGTATACCTAATGTACTCAAAATCTTCCTTCCAATTCCAAATGCACCTCTGGCTATTGTTCCCACTGCGGGCAAAAATCTGGATGCAACTCCTGCTAATGCGCCAAATAAACCCATTTCTTATGGGGTAAAAATGACGAATCCAAACAAGGACCCGTATGTTCTAAAGCAACAAAGAAAGCACTCATGGTAAAAATCTTTAGTTCAACACCAAATGCTTGGTTTATGGATATCTTGGAAAACATTCCGAGAGTTAGAACAGATGGACCTCCATACTGGCTAATATTTGTCGGTCAAAACACAAGATACTGTGAAGCCATACCATTACAGTCAAAAATATTTTAGATGTGAAAACTGCTTTGACAATATTCGTTGACAAATACCATCCAACAAAACTGACATCTGACTGTGAACGTTCTTTCAAATCAGACGATATTAAAAACTATCTGCGTTCAAAAAATGTAACCAATATTTCATTGTCGACCAAAACCATTCTGCTCTTGGTGTCATTGACAGTTGTATAAAAATCTTAAGAGACTTAAACCAACCACAAGGTGGTGAGGTAGATGAAATGTCATATGACGACAAGTATAGACATTTCTCCATGGCAAAGATGAGACAAGTTTTAAATATTTACAATAGCCGTAAACAAAAAGGTTTGGGAAACCACTCCCCCGAAGAAATGAAAAACAACCCTGACTTAGAGAAAGACTATATATTTAATAGTTTAGTCAAAAGAGACAAACAAGAAAGAATGCCAGGCTTCAAACTTCAGAAAGGTGACAAAGTAAAAATAGAAATACCTAAACGCGACCCATATGAAAATACTATTGACTATGACAACAATGGGAACTCGACAGGTACTCGCATTCGTGTTCGTAAAAATAGAAGAAAGTATACAAGAGAATATTATGAAGTTTTAGGCAAACATGGCAAAATGTACAGACTGCAAGCAGAAGATAAAACTACTATTGTCAGACCTCGTTTCAACTGTCAAAGTTCAAGGTGGTATACTTTCAAAGACAGTTCCTAACAAATATAAGACAACTCCTGACGAATATGCTAAAGAAGTTGAAAATGACGACTAAGCAATTCTATACCATGCGTAAACTGTCATGTAAGGTGGCATGTAGTCTTTACTTTGTCCGTTGTTTGTGTATACCCTGAAACGCGATGTGTATGGTTTCCTTCTCCCTGTGTGCTACCCCAGAAACAATTTATAGCAAACTGAACGTTGTCTTTAACATCATATCCTTTACCTTTTTTTCATTGCTGACCAATCCCAAAATCTATGCTTATGCCAACCTGCTTGAGATGTACTTAAATCTATGTAGTGACTGTGTGCAGGTAAGTTTTCACCTGAAATCGTTTTACTTCCACCTGTTTCCTTTGAAGAGTTTGCACAATACAAAAACCTGTCGACTATTTGAGTCCAAGTTCCGAGACCAAGTACTACTTCTGGTCTGGTAGAGTTCATTGACGTGTAAATAGAACCTATAGGATATAGTGTTTGAAGTATTTCTGTCTTTAACGTTGAAGCTTGTTTTGTCAGCTTTGTTGTCATATAAATCTTGAGCAGTGAATTTAACATTGTTTCATCCTTCATGCATAGACATTTCTACATCTAATGTATTTCATCGTCGTTATGTCATCCTCCGATGTTAAACCTTGTGGAAAGTTAGGAGGTTTCCAATTTAATACATCCCCACCAGTTTCTTCAACCGTTTCCCAATATTTTCTATACCAACAGTTGCGAAGAAATCGTGTGTATGTCCAACGTCACTTTTCTTGTTTAAGGTTTCTTGTAAGTTTGTAATATTTGCAATGGTATGTGTATGAGTCTTTTAGAATATTCTTTGTCAGCTCTTGTCACTTCACTTGACATTTTATTGTCAACATATGTTTTATCCGCCTTGTCATCTAACTTTTCTTGAAGTTCATCTACGTCATAGATGTTATGTGTATGGTGTTTTTGTGGGTATGCTCTATCTGTCCATGCGAAAATATAGTCTTTTGTTGCATCTACATACTCTTTGTCAGCTTTCTTTTCAAGGCTAACGTTTAAGTCTGTTATTTCAGATATAGTATGTGTATGTCCAACGTCACTTTTCCTGTTTAAGGTTTCTTGTAAGTTTGTAATATTGCAATGGTATGTGTATGAGTCTTTTTAGAATATTCGTTTTCAGCTCTTGTCACTTCACTTGACATTTTATTGTCAACATATGTTTTGTCCGCTAGTTCAGGATGAGTATGTTCTTGTTGCATATGTTGCATCTGCTCTGTCATGTTCTTCTTGAACTTTTTCAATGACATACTCTTTGTCAGCTTTGTTGTCAACATCTGCTTTCAAAAGAAGTTCATCTATAGGTTTCTCGTTTAAAGTTCTTTTTGTTGGATTTATACAAACAGTATGGTTCTTACTGTCTTGAAACAGAAACTCGTCTGTCAATGGGTTTATCGTCAGTTTTAAGTTTCCTTCTTCAATGACTCAGATATTTAGAATAGTTTGAAAAGTTTGTTGTGTTCTTATTTAGAGCTTGCAAAATGAGTTGTCGGTTGTGTTGTATTTCTCATAGACGCTGTTCTTTCGACATTTTATTCTAGATAAAATATGCTTTCAATAGAAAAAGAAAATTCTAGAGTTGCTACAACTAAACCATTAGATGAACTTTTACTAATGTCGGTCAAAAGTTTGAGACAGAGACCGTAAAGCATGAAGGCTATCGTTTTGACTACCCATTAAGATGGTTAAGAGACCCATCTGTCACAAAAGCTATTGGCTTTCGTAGAATGAAGTTCATTTCAGAAGCCATACATGGTTTCCCATTTACGGTCGGTTTTGAAGTTCGATACTATAACAAAGAAAAACGTACGTATGAGAAATTTGAACAGGGAAAACTTTTACAAGTGAATTTGCTTGTAAACTTAGAAACAACTCTTCAAGCTTTTCAAGAAAAAATAAACGACATCTATATCGAATATGCAAACCAGTATAACATTGACGAGGGAGAGTACCATCTCGATATTATATATGACAGGAAAAATGCAACTGTTAAAATCAATAAAATAGAAGACCTTGGAGAAAACGTTTATATTTCTACAAAATATAACAACTTGGCATGGCATAGATTTTTGAGGATGTTAAATCAGCCTGCATGGTATCCAGTACACCCGGACTATTATGAAGTCGAAAACCCTAATGGAACATATGAAAATGTTTTCGACTCAGATGCTATTATAGTTCATGCTTCATTTTCTGGTGCACAAAACTCTTTTTTATGCTTGGCAAATGACTTTTACGAAAAACCTACAAAGCTATATGAACCACCGAGTGGAAGTATTTCGGATTTTCAAGTATGGTTTACTACAGATGGAAGAAAGAGAATAGTTCCATTATACCATGCGTTTTACTTAGAACTTAGTTTCATATACAACTACTATCGAACGGTAAAAATATAATTTTTTTAATACGGTTGAGGTGTTGGATTTGGTTGCCAACTAGACTGTGGTGCAGGTTCAGGCTGTTGTATAACAGGACTTGTTCTTCTGGTTCAGGGTCTTTAGGTATAATACCAACGAACTGACCTACTCTTTTACCAATATTTTTGACTCCGTTCCAAATTCCTCTTCCTACGGTTTTTATTCCATTCCATATACCTCTTCCAACATTCGAAAGAAGTTTCCTATTCTTCCAAAGAAACCCATTTTACTATATGTAAAAATCTAATGTCCGCCTAGTCTCTTACGTTTCCTGTTGAGTTCCATTGCATTCTTTAACTGGAGCTCATACATTCTATTTCTCCTCTGGTAGAAAAATACTCTGGGTCAACTCCTGTGTTCGCGTCATCTGCATAGAGTTGTTTATATCCCACTTCAGGGTTTGTATAAAACTCTTTCCATCTCATATTTGCATACCATGGTGGCAAACCTAACGCAGCGTCATTTGACATGGCAGTTTGCATTTGTACATCTGTTGGCACTTGACCATAGTTTGCCATTGCAGTTTGTATTCTAACTTCATTTGGAATATTCTCTGGGTTTGGTTGTCCAGGTTGCTGTGCATTCGCTAAGTTCTGTGCGTCCATTTAATATTAGATAAAAATATCTCTTACGAGTACATATACTGGACATTTGCAGGCATTGGTTCATCTTCATATTCTCTATATCTTTCTGCCACGTCAAATAAGTAAATGACACAATGGAAAAAACCTAAAACAAGTAGTCCTATTTCAAACCACATTTACTTACTAATAAAATTTCTTTGTTATGACACTTTCTCCAGTTTATAGGACCTCTCTCATATTCTATCTTTCATATATAAACTCATAGTCATGTATGTCCTCTAACCATCTCATAACGGTTTCCAAACCACTTTTATCGGATGTAAAGTAAAAGCATGGATGGTTATGTAAAACGTCTAAAGTTTCTAAAGAGTCTCTCAAAGTCCAGTCTACTTGGTATTGAAAATCCCATGTGTTATAGAACGGCGGGTCCACTATAAAGAAAACATTTTCCTTGTCTTTATATTTTTCATACAACTCTGTCCAACGACATCTCACAAACTCTATACCCTCAGTATATTTTTCTATGTTCTCTTTGAAAACCTTTGTATAGTTAAGATATAAAACTTTTGACATAAGTGTTTCAATGTCATGAACTCTTATAGCACCACTATATAATAGTCTAGAAGATATACTATCCCAGTCAATATACTCTGCTTTTTTCAAAACCTCTCTGACAGTATTTTTCTTATCTAATGGTATACGTTCCATCTTACCTATAGGTATCTTTTCTTTTAACTCTTTCAATATTTTGTTTGTGTCTGGTATATGTTTGAGACGGTTCATATAGTTGTCGAAGTCATTGCATATAATCTTTGAGTCAGGAAATACAGTATGGCACAAATGAGATATATAGAAACTTCCACCGAACAAATCTACAAATGTTAGACCATTCGGTAGTTTCTTAAGTTCTCTCAATAGAATATCTTTACATCTACTCTTATTTCCAAAGAAGGGTAACGGTGGTTTTGTAAAATTCATTTTATATATATAATAAAAATGTTTTTACCTGAAAAGTGACAGAAAAGTGACAAAACATGAAAACATATATATTTTGTGAAAAGCTCCTGGAAGACCCGTATATAAGAACTTCATTTATACTAAACATCTTCAGGGGCTAGAGGGGCGCAGCCCTGGAAGCCCCACTACCTTTTTTTTTTTTTTTTTTTTTTTTTTTTTTTTTTTTTTTTTTTTTTTTTTTTGTATGTAATGGCATTAAAGCGAATTTCCTAATTTCTTCTCAATTTAATTCCTAGAAAAACTTAGGAATTAATGATTGGAAATAGGTCAAAAAATTCCTAATATAAAATTCATACTTATAATAAAATCAAAATTCGAAAATATCTATTTTTCAAAACACGCATCCAGAAGCAAAAAAAAATAGGAAAAAATCATGTTCTTATAAAACTCGCTGATTTTGCAATTTTTATGTGATTTGAAGTGATAGAATATATTATCATCTTATTAAAACATATACTTCATTGTTACATTCACAAAATATTAATCAGAACACTAGGAAAAGTGGATTTTCGAAAAAAGACGATAACGATTATTTGCAAATCGCCTCTCAATTTTGAGAGACTTTCAATTTTTACAGTGGACCCTTAAAGAAACATTCCAAATTCTTGAGCAAACATAAATTTTAGCAATAATATACTTGTTTTATTGATCTATTTTTCTATTTTCCTGCTGAATTTTTCAAAAACAGTAAACTTTTTTAAAAAAGTTAATTTTTTTTATCTGCAATTACCAAAATTTTCAAAAAAAATTTATTGTCAAAAAGTTCTTATTGAACCTTGGCATAATACATTAATAGGGTAGGGGAACAGTTTCACAAACATTTTATTAATTTCGATAAGAGAATAAAATTAGATTATTGAATTCACGAATTATTTTTGATATGTCATCAATTAAATTAAAACACTCTAAAATCAAACACTATTTCTTCAATTTTGTACAAATTTATTATGCTATTTTTGTCCAGTGATTTTATTTTTCTTTCAATTTAACTCAATAGGATATTTCTTCCTAATATTTAATGTACTTTTAATTTCTCATTAAATAGCTTTTTAAGATATTCTGAAGGTATTCAATCCTCATCACAAAACTTTGTATTCAAAAAAATAATAATCTCACAACACTTTATCCCCGATTCAATTATCGATATCATCAAAACCAAGTTTATTTTATTGCATTCAACCAGCTTGATCATTTTATAATCCAGATGATGTCACTAAAACTGACGCTTTCAAATTATTTGAAATAAAATGAAATGCCCAAAGAAAGTGTTTGGCACCAAATGCGGAGCACTATTTGGATTTCAATTATGCATACTTTTTACATTTGCTGGCGGAACAGTTCTTGCTTATAAACGAAAGCTTTATGGAAATACTTTGCCATTTTTAAATGTTGCAATTACTTACTTTCTAGTCCTAATTTGCAATCTATGGAGATGGGATAAGTCTGAATCTAAGTGGTGGGGATACATATTGGTTGCAATTTTTATTATTGGCGCCGATTGTTTAAATTTACTGGGCTACAACAAGACATCGATTGCATCAGTAATGCTTCTAGTTTCTACAGAGATTTTCTGGGTTGCCCCCTTATCATTCCTCGTTTTTAAAAGGAAAATAAATTGGATTCAATTTCTAGCGATGATTTTAGGCGCTGGAGGCGTTGCTCTTATTATTGTTGCTCAAGGAATTAAAGGCAGCCATTTAATAGGTAATATAATTGCAATTGGTGCTTCAATTTTTTACGCAATTGTCAATGTAACCCAAGAAAAGATAGTTAAAGATGACACAATTGGACTATACTTATGCAGATTTTCATGCGCTGCAGCTCCATTAGCAGCAATATTGAGCGGTTCACTCGAATATAAGACAATTAAAGAATATAAATGGGAATTTTGGTCTATTTTCTTCCACGTTATATACCCAATAATCCTTGCAGGATATTACATGTTCATGCCAATTGTTTTGCAATATTCGAATGCAACTGTGATGATTCTATCTTTTCTTACAACTAATTTCTATTCTTTAGCAATCGATATGTGTCTTTTTGGGAAGCCATTTAGTTGGCTATATCTTGCAGGGTTCTTGTGCATACCTGTTGCGGTTGCTATTTTTGTTTTATGTGAAACCAAATAAAAGAAACCAGAGCTAGATGGATTAGTATCTCAAGAACTATTATCAAATCCAGAATTGATTTATACAGAAACAGATATCAAACAATGATTTTTTGTTTTTATTTATAATAAAGCGGTAAATTGAATATCATCTGTAGTGAACTCAATTTTTAATTGCGAAATATATTGGATTGCATCATTATTTTTTTGAATTGAATTAAAAATCGAAAATGCAAGTAAAATATCTTATTATCAAGAAATAACACATGCCACAAAGAGGAATTTGTAAATTTCAACTAGACATTTTCATTATTTTATTTTTTTTTTTTTTTAAAAAAAGGTACTGATTTTAATAATTGGCACTTTATAACAAACAAACATATAATGTGTATTTAGAAGCTTAAAGCTTGAAATAGCTGGATGTAATGTAAATGTTGTTAGCCGACTGGAAGTAATGTGTTGTATTATATCTGTTGAAAGGGCACATTTCTTTAAGCGATATATTGGATTCTTCATTGGAGCAACTATCTTCACTAGAGAAACTGGAAGAGCAATCACTTGAGAAGAATGAGGAAGAACAGACTGGATTCCATCCCAAATTGGAGTCTGAACTCAAATTGAAGCGATCAGATGATTGGAAGTTCTGGAATGAGTTCATGATTGGAATGAACAATAAAAATATAAAACCGCTATTTCTTATGAAACAGATAAATGGTTTTACAATTCAATTTTTTGTTAGAGAAAATAAATTATATCCTATGCAATCCATTATTATAAATATTCACAAAAAAAAAAAAAAAAAAAAAAAAAAAAAAGGTAGTGGGGCTTCCAGGGCTGCGCCCCTCTAGCCCCTGAAGATGTTTAGTATAAATGAAGTTCTTATATACGGGTCTTCCAGGAGCTTTTCACAAAATATATATGTTTTCATGTTTTGTCACTTTTCTGTCACTTTTCAGGTAAAAACATTTTTATTATATATATAAAATGAATTTTACAAAACCACCGTTACCCTTCTTTGGAAATAAGAGTAGATGTAAAGATATTCTATTGAGAGAACTTAAGAAACTACCGAATGGTCTAACATTTGTAGATTTGTTCGGTGGAAGTTTCTATATATCTCATTTGTGCCATACTGTATTTCCTGACTCAAAGATTATATGCAATGACTTCGACAACTATATGAACCGTCTCAAACATATACCAGACACAAACAAAATATTGAAAGAGTTAAAAGAAAAGATACCTATAGGTAAGATGGAACGTATACCATTAGATAAGAAAAATACTGTCAGAGAGGTTTTGAAAAAAGCAGAGTATATTGACTGGGATAGTATATCTTCTAGACTATTATATAGTGGTGCTATAAGAGTTCATGACATTGAAACACTTATGTCAAAAGTTTTATATCTTAACTATACAAATGTTTTCAAAGAGGACATAGAAAAATATATTGAGGGTATAGAGTTTGTAAGATGTCATTGGACAGAGTTGTATGAAAAATATAAAGACAAGGAAAATGTTTTCTTTATAGTGGACCCGCCGTTCTATAACACATGGGATTTTCAATACCAAGTAGACTGGACTTTGAGAGACTCTTTAGAAACTTTAGACGTTTTACATAACCATCCATGCTTTTACTTTACATCCGATAAAAGTGGTTTGGAAACCGTTATGAGATGGTTAGAGGACATACATGACTATGAGTTTATATATGACAAGATAGAATATGAGAGAGGTCCTATAAACTGGAGAAAGTGTCATAACAAAGAAATTTTATTAGTAAGTAAATGTGGTTTGAAATAGGACTACTTGTTTTAGGTTTTTTCCATTGTGTCATTTACTTATTTGACGTGGCAGAAAGATATAGAGAATATGAAGATGAACCAATGCCTGCAAATGTCCAGTATATGTACTCGTAAGAGATATTTTTATCTAATATTAAATGGACGCACAGAACTTAGCGAATGCACAGCAACCTGGACAACCAAACCCAGAGAATATTCCAAATGAAGTTAGAATACAAACTGCAATGGCAAACTATGGTCAAGTGCCAACAGATGTACAAATGCAAACTGCCATGTCAAATGACGCTGCGTTAGGTTTGCCACCATGGTATGCAAATATGAGATGGAAAGAGTTTTATACAAACCCTGAAGTGGGATATAAACAACTCTATGCAGATGACGCGAACACAGGAGTTGACCCAGAGTATGTTTTCTACCAGAGGAGAAATAGAATGTATGAGCTCCAGTTAAAGAATGCAATGGAACTCAGAAGGAAACGTAAGAGACTAGGCGGACATTAGATTTTTACATATAGTAAAATGGGTTTCTTTGGAAGAATAGGAAACTTCTTTCGAAATGTTGGAAGAGGTATATGGAATGGAATAAAAACCGTAGGAAGAGGAATTTGGAACGGAGTCAAAAATATTGGTAAAAGAGTAGGTCAGTTCGTTGGTATTATACCTAAAGACCCTGAACCAGAAGAACAAGCTCCTGTTATACAACAGCCTGAACCTGCACCACAGTCTAGTTGGCAACCAAATCCAACACCTCAACCGTATTAAAAAATTATATTTTTACCGTTCGATAGTAGTTGTATATGAAACTAAGTTCTAAGTAAAACGCGTGGTATAATGGAACTATTCTCTTTCTTCCATCTGTTGTAAACCATACTTGAAAGTCTGAAATACTTCCACTCGGTGGTTCATATAGCTTTGTAGGTTTTTCGTAAAAGTCATTTGCCAAGCATAAAAAAGAGTTTTGGGCGCCAGAAAATGAAGCATGAACTATAATAGCATCTGAGTCGAAAACATTTTCATATGTTCCATTAGGGTTTTCGACTTCATAAAAGTCCGGGTGTACTGGATATTCTGCAGGCTGATTTAACATCCTCAGAAACCTATACCATGCCAAGTTGTTATATTTTGTAGAAATATAAACGTTTCTCCAAGGTCTTCTATTTATTGATTTTAACAGTTGCATTTTTCCTGTCATATATAATATCGAGATGGTACTCTCCTTCGTCAATGTTGTACTGTTTGCATATTCGAGATAGATATCGTTTATTTTTTCTTGAAAAGCTTGAAGAGTTGTTTCTAAGTTTACAAGCAAATTCACTTGTAAAAGTTTTCCCTGTTTCAAATTTCTCATACGTACGTTTCTCTTTGTTATAGTATCGAACTTCAAAACCGACCGTAAATGGGAAACCATGTATGGCTTCTGAAATGAACTTCATTCTACGAAAGCCAATAGCTTTTGTGACAGATGGGTCTCTTAACCATCTTAATGGGTAGTCAAAACGATAGCCTTCATGCTTTACGGTCTCTGTCTCAAACTTTTGACCGACATTAGTAAAAAGTTCATCTAATGGTTTAGTTGTAGCAACTCTAGAATTTTCTTTTTCTATTGAAAGCATATTTTATCTAGAATAAAAATGTCGAAAGAAACAGCGTCTATGAGAGAAATACAACACAACCGACAACTCATTTTGCAAGCTCTAAATAAGAAACACAACAAACTTTTCAAACTATTCTAAGATATCTGAGTCATTGAAAGAAGGAAACTTAAAACTGACGATAAACCCATTGACAGACGAGTTTCTGTTTCAAGACAGTAAGAACCATACTGTTTGTATAAATCCAACAAAAAGAACTTTAAACGAGAAACCTATAGATGAACTTCTTTTGAAAAGCAGATGTTGACAACAAAGCTGACAAAGAGTATGTCATTGAAAAAGTTCAAGAAGAACATGACAGAGCAGATGCAACATATGCAACAAAAGAACATACTCATCCTGAACTAGCGGACAAAACATATGTTGACAATAAAATGTCAAGTGAAGTGACAAGAGCTGAAAACGAATATTCTAAAAAGACTCATACACATACCATTGCAAATATTACAAACTTACAAGAAACCTTAAAACAGGAAAAGTGACGTTGGACATACACATACTATATCTGAAATAACAGACTTAAACGTTAGCCTTGAAAAGAAAGCTGACAAAGAGTATGTAGATGCAACAAAAGACTATATTTTCGCATGGACAGATAGAGCATACCCACAAAAACACCATACACATAACATCTATGACGTAGATGAACTTCAAGAAAAGTTAGATGACAAGGCGGATAAAACATATGTTGACAATAAAATGTCAAGTGAAGTGACAAGAGCTGACAAAGAATATTCTAAAAAGACTCATACACATACCATTGCAAATATTACAAACTTACAAGAAACCTTAAACAAGAAAAGTGACGTTGGACATACACACGATTTCTTCGCAACTGTTGGTATAGAAAATATTGAAGGAACGGTTGAAGAAACTGGTGGGGATGTATTAAATTGGAAACCTCCTAACTTTCCACAAGGTTTAACATCGGAGGATGACATAACGACGATGAAATACATTAGATGTAGAAATGTCTATGTCATGAAGGATGAAAACAATGTTAAATTCACTGCTCAAGATTTATATGACAACAAAGCTGACAAAACAGAGCTTCAAACGTTAAAGACAGAAATACTTCAAACAGTATATCCTATAGGTTCTATTTACACGTCAATGAACTCTACCAGACCAGAAGTAGTACTTGGTTTTGGAACTTGGACTCAAATAGTCGACAGGTTTTTGTATTGTGCAAACTCTTCAAAGGAAACAGGTGGAAGTAAAACGATTTCAGGTGAAAACTTACCTGCACACAGTCACTACATAGATTTAAGTACATCTCAAGCAGGTTGGCATAAGCATAGATTTTGGGATTGGTCAGCAATGAAAAAAGGTAAAGGATATGATGTTAAAGACAACGTTCAGTTTGCTATAAATTGTTTCTGGGGTAGCACACAGGGAGAAGGAAACCATACACATCGCGTTTCAGGGTATACACAAACAACGGGACAAAGTAAAGACTACATGCCACCTTACATGACAGTTTACGCATGGTATAGAATTGCTTAGTCGTCATTTTCAACTTCTTTAGCATATTCGTCAGGAGTTGTCTTATATTTGTTAGGAACT